TCTGTGTTTTTCCTTCATTCAGCACAGCTGTTGTTGTCTTGCTGTACACATTATAGATGTCTCTAATTCTTCTTCACTGAGCTAGACTTCAGAACAGGATCAATGTGTCATCTATAAACATGCTGATCTTGTATTTCTGTCCCATGCTATCTCTCAGTTCTTGAATAGAGTTATTCTTGATCAGCAGCCTTGCTAGGCCTTCTATTATCACATTAAACATCAGACAGAAGAGCGGGCAGCCTTGCCTCACATCTCTTTCAAGTTTGATTGACTCAGACTCAAATCTATTAATCATGACTGTGAATGTCATGCCATGATAGCAGCTCTGTATAACTTTCACTGTAGACTCTGATACATTGATTTTTCACAGTACTATAAAGAGATAAGCTCTATCTATTGAGTCATAAGCTTTCTCTTGATCTAGAAAGGCTATATAAAGAGATTCTTACTACTGCTGCACTCAGTTCACTGCTAGTTACATCAGCTTTATATTATCAATAATTTATCTGTTCTTTATGAACCCTGTCTGATGTTTTTCAATCACAGTCTTAATTGACTCTGCAAGCCTTTCAGCAATGATTGAGATAATCAGCTTATATATTGTATTTATTAGTGAAATGAGTCTGTAATTTTTGATATTAGTTTTATCTTCTTTCTTATACAATATTTTTATTACTTCTTTCTTTCAGTTCTCTGGCATCACTATTTCATACTTGTGATATTCTATCAGAACTGTGACAACTGCTGTGAGAACATTCTGTAATATGTGACCTTTCTCATCTGAGTGAGTCATGAAGATCTTGAAGAAATTTCACAGTATCTCAGACAGTTCAGGCAAGCACTCTCAGAACCAGTTTCTGCTCTAAGTCTCAATCTCATCAATTACTACTGAACTCATTATTTTCTGAAAGTCGCCTTTCAGCAGTCTTCTTAACAGGTTCTCTTAATATACTTTACTTATTTATTGTTCTTGAAACAGTGTCTCATAGAACTTAAATACTATTTTTAGCATCTTTTCAGTTTTATAAGTTACTTTTTCCCCGCTCTTCAAGCTGTATATTATACTTTCATCTATCAGTTCTTTTCTCAATTCTCAAAATACTGAGAATATCATTTTTGAGATGAGTCACTTCACTTTTGCACTTATTTTCTGACAACTCTTCTTGATCTTTCAGAGCGCATTTAAGCATCTGTATACAGTCTGAATCATCTGAATTGTAAGACACATGCAATTTTTAGTCTTGAGTTTTCAAAGTCTTGTTTTCAGCTTTTACTGAATTCTTGTCATGCTTACTGTCTTAGCTTTCTGAAAGCTTCTGACTTTACTGGCTATCAGCTGTAAGCTTTCATCAAATTCTGTCAGTAGCTTCACAGCATCAGTTGTTACAAGGTATTTTCCTCACTTATCAAAAAGCAGTGTACATGTACTCATTGTATTGCTGATCAGCTGTTCTACTACAGAGCTTAGAGTCTCTAGCATGAATGAGTGCTCTAGTAGGTTCACATTCATGCATCAGAAGTCTGTCTCTTTCTTTACTGTTATCTGAGAGTAGTACTGCATCAGTACAGCACTGTGATCTGTTCAATTGAGGATTTGTTTTATTTCCCATCTATCTGACTTCTTATAGACTTGTGGTGTGCACAGGATACAGTTGATTCTGCTGAACAAGAGTGTCTCTGTGGCTCTGATGAATGTATATTCATGTCAGCCTGAATTGACAGCATACCAGTCATTCAACAGAGCTTTACTTTCCATTACACTTTTCAGAGCCCTCTGAACTCTTGTGTCTTCCCCACGGGGTGGGTTCTGATCCTGGCTCTTGAACATGCAGTTTCAATCTCTCAGAACAACATTGACCTTTCCTCCGATTCCAGGTGTTTTGCAACATTTTTTAGAAAGCATACTTGAGTAGTTTTCTGATTAGAAATATATATACTCAATAGTTTTGTCACCTTCACTGACCTCTCAATGTAACACTTGATTCTGATTTATCTACTCTCAATGTCTCTGTGAAAACATGTGACTTTGTCTTCTGGTATTTTAGCAGGGTTCAATATCACTCATGTTACACTCACACTGTTGAAAGCTGGGGCATTGATGTACACTTGTACTCTCTGATAGAGCTGTATCACCGCCTCGGCTCGGCTTGATGTTAAGTGTGTTTCACAAAGAAACGCTATATCAATCTTAAGGTCTCTTATTATTATTATTATTATTCTTCAATTATAGATGTATGCAGTCAGATACTATGACATCTACCTGAGAATCTTTAGTTCTCAGGGTTTTTTCTATATCTATAGAGTCAACTATTATACATTTATCAATTTCAAATATGCAAAATCAGAAAATTCCAGCTCAGAATATAAAAACTGTTTACAAATTGCAGTATTTCAACACCTTCTGATAGTTTGAAACCATTTGAAAATATTATGACAAAAGAAAAGAGAACATAGTCTTAAAGATAGACACATTAAATAGATAGAGAAAAGAACAGAAGAAAACAAGTACAGTAAAGAGAGACTATAACAAAACAAAATTATTAAAAGATGATGTATAGCTGTTTTAACAGACTATATCTAGTCAATTTCCACCTCTTCATATTCAGATACTGCTGAATTCAGTTATTTTCTTGTAGCTGCTCTAGTTTCTGATAGAAAGTCTATTAAGTATTTAGTTTCTGTCTCAGTTGAGAATAAGAACCTCATATTTAATTGATTTAAATCATACTTCTTCTTTAATCTGACTCTGAGACTATTGTATAATGCATAATGCATTACAATATGCTCAGGATTTTCATTCACATTGCAGAATGAGCACTCTGTTGAATCAAATCTATCATCAAATCTTTGTATATAAGATTTGAAATAACCATGTTCTAGTTTCAGCTGAATTATAGATGAGAATATTTTCTTTTTACATTTAATTGAACAAGATTTTCACTTTGGTTTTGTCTCAAATCTTGAATAATGTATACTCTTCTTTTGTTTCTGCTAGCTTTCATTTCACTTGTTTAAACAAGATTCTTTTATCTTTCTCTTTATGAAAGATCAGGACACTGTTTTTTGAATAGATCTGCTTAATTCTGAACCCTTTTTTACAGCTGAATCAGCCAATTCATTGCCATGAATATTCATATGAGCAGGAACTCAATGCAGATGAATTATCAGTTTTAATATTCTTCTCTTTTGAATTTTCAAAACAGAGTTTAAAATCAGTTCAAGATTCATTTGATCATTATGAATCTGACTATTTCTAAGTCTTTTTAAAGCAGCTTGACTATCAGAGAATATTCATGCCTCTTTCAAATCATTTCCTCTTTTATGAGATTTTATTTCAATGAGTTTGAAAGCTTTCACTATTACAAATAGTTCAGCATCAAAGACTTCAGATTCACAGCCTAAATTCCAGAAATCTGAGATAAAATTAATATTATCTTCAGTATAAGCAATGCCTGCGCCTAATCTATTCAAATTCTCATTTTTTGAGCCATCTGAGTAGATCAGAATAGAGTCTTTTATATTAATTGTAGAGATCTTCTTCAAATGCTGTTCATATTCTCTCTCTTTAGATAGTTCACTTATTTGTAAGTCTATGAGAGATTTCAGCTTTTCTCTCCAGGAAGATATCTTCTCATGATCAATTTTCTCAACATTTAATGAAGAAAATTGATTCTTAATAAGTGAACATAGTCTATACAGTTGAGAGAGCATTTTCTTTAAAGTACTATTCTCATTTCAATCAAGAAATCTATTTCAATCCAGTTCATTTCCTGAGTTAACTGGTGGAAATGAAGAAGAGACTCTTTCTCTGATTATATGATTTGAGCTCATCTTCATGACTCTCAGAGTATAGTTCATACAGGCCTTTTCAAATCGAATAGCAGGAGGTGGAATTGAAGCTTCAATTTCCATTGCTTTAATAGGAGATGACTTGAATACTTTCAGAATTCTTCTCAAAGCTCTGTTTTGTAGACTTTGAAAGAGTTCAGTGAAGTTTCCTTGATTATTCCATCAAACTTGAACTTCATAATCAGCTACTGAGGTAATACAGGCTATGTATAACTGTCTCATAGCCTGAAAGGATAGACCTCTCTCAGTATTTGATAGTCTGATTATACTATTCAGTAGTCTCTCTGCCTTGATAATTCTTTGTTGAATATGATATTTAAAATTCAGCTTGGAGTTTAACCATACTCCTAGTCATTTGACATTTAAACTGGGTTTAATCTCTTTATTCAAAAGAGTTAGACTTAGTTCTTTCTCATTAAATCTGGAAAAAAAGTGAATTAGCTCAGTTTTATTCATATTAAATTGAATTAGATTGATATCTGCTCTAACAAAGATTTCCTCTGCTGCTTTCTCAATCACTTCTAAATTCTCTTTGATTGTCTTTGAACTGTAGAGTAGATCAATATCATCTACATAACTTGGAGATCTCACTATTTTCATCTCTCTATTCTTGAATAGATATGCAGTGTATATTGTAAATAAAACAGGTGAGATTGGAGATTCTTGTGGTACTTCTATTTTTATCTCAGCTTAAGGTCTCTTAAATAGGCCATCATCTTTTCAAACTTACCTATTTCAGCTAGTTCTCTTATATTTAGAGATGCTAGTCTCATTCTAGATAAGGCACAGAAAGAAGCTTTTAGTCAGAAGTGTCAAAGTGTTTCAAATTAAATACTTCTGAGTATTATTAAGTACAGGCCCTGTGTTTCTTCTCTACATCTTGAGACTAACTCTTAAAACAATCTTCTGCCCGGCCATTGATTCCTGGTATCTAATATATGAAAAATACATAAAGAAAGAGAACATTTCTGTATCTTCTCTCTGCTATTGATTTCTTATTTCTTCTCTGAGACTGATTTCTTAGCTGGTTTAGGTTTCTGTGATACAAGAACTTCAGACAGTTTGAATTTGCTGTTTTCAGCATTGCACACTACATCTTTGTGGTCTTTTTATTCACACAGTGCACATCAGGTATCTTCTTTGTAAAATGATCAGAACTGCTTAGCAGCACTGACTTCAATTGATTTGACACTCATCATTGCCAGTGTGGTGAATGATACAACAAATGTCCCTGTTGAAACCTTGACTGTAACAACTTTCTGAATGTGATATTCTGGGATGGCGGATTCTTTACCCTTGAACCGAGAATTAATTGTCGCCTGAATGTCTTGAAGGGTATTCATTGAGCCGCTGGAGGTTACATATGTGTACAGGCCAGTACCTCTGATATCTTTAAATTTGAAAAGCTGGAGTTCAATCTGAGTCTCATCTACTTTGAATTTCACTTCTCTGAGTCTCTTGAGGCCGGAGTCTCTGCGGGCTTGCATCTCATATATTATCCTGTAGTAGCTTGATGCAGATGAGATAATCTTTGTTATGTCTTTTCTCACTTTCTCTGTGAGAAACAAGAATAGCTTCCGGTATGTTGATCTCCTCCTGAGCAGGGCTTCATCTATACTTGCTCAAACTGCTTTTCTGTCTGCTATGAGACAGGCACGGTCGAGGTCTGACAGCCGCATATTCATAAAGGGCTTGGCCGGCGTGGGAGGAGTTTTTGAGTCTGAGTTTCCTGGCTTATTCTTATGAGAAATAACAGATTTTTCATATTCATCATCTTTCATTTCTACATCTGAGGCTTCACTTTTAGGGCCTGTATTATCATTATCTTCTGATTCTTTTGAGGTTGTTGAAATGACCATCTCTTCATGAGAAGAGGCCTTGTGCTGTAACTCCTCTTCTTGAGCCTGAGAATTTTTATGATTTTTATAAGCTCTTGTTGAGGGGCTCAGAGTGTTCTATGAGTTTATGAACATCAATTCATTACTCTATTTCTAAACTAAGCTAGTTTATTCCTTGAGTTACCTGATTCTCCTGGCGCGCGTGCTTTTTGCTCGACTTGCTCTTTTTTGACAAGCCTAGACAGGGAAGATTAATTTTTAAGTGACTCACTTAGCTACTATTTCTGGCAATACTTACTCTGTCTGCTTTTAATTGCTGAGTTGGTCAGCATTGCTGAAAAGGATTAGTTTCAAGCTTTGGCCGGGATTACAGAGCTGTTACTCATTTATCATTCAGTTCAATGACTTGAATTTTACAGAGAGTGCTTACTTACTCTATACAATTTTAAGTCTGACTGTCTGCTTCTCTAATGTTAGCAATCTGTTTACATAGATTTCTCTGCTTAAGGTGAAGAACTTACTTTGTACAGATCTTTTTTTGATGAGAAGGTTTTATGCATTCTACTTCAAAAGACTATTTGATGATACTGTGTATTATTGTTAGTTAAGCCAGTATCAGCAGTCACTGTTTTACCGGTGACTGACAGGTAGGGCGACGCGAACGCTCTGGCCTGGAAGACTCACAACTTTTTTAATCTAGCTGTTTACTGTCTTGTGAGGGACAAAATAAAGTGCAATATTAAAAGCAAGTCTGAGAGTCTAAACAATTAGTCAGCACTTTGTGTTTCACAAGATACAAGGAGTTTCCTTTTACCTACCCGACGGTATCTGATCATCTTTCTTTTTATTACTTTGTTCTTAGAGTTGCAAGTCAGTCTGCTGAGACCTCAGTGTAAAGTGAGATGACACTTCTCATGACTCTATCTCTTTGCAGTCATTTTATCCATGACTGAGGCTTTGAGCTAACAGGTTTATGATAGATTTTTGATGTGTCATCAATTTTCAGAGTGTTTATAGTAACAGATGTTACAGGGCCTGATGATGAGAGCAAGAGTCACAGGTTGACTACTGTACTTACCTGATTTCCTTACTTCTCAAGCTAGATTACAATTCAACTAGGTTTATCCTCTGAAGCACTGTCTCACTGTTTCTTAAATAGATCAGTCTTATCATCAGAATTGTCTAGCATCAGTTGTCAGTCTATGTGATAGTGTATTATCACTCTCAAGTGATATCTCTGCACAGCATCAATCTCTGTGAATTCTTCAGTTTTCTTGAAACTTCAGACACAGTGGTAGACTCAAATTGCTCAAAGAGTCTCAGAGAATAGAATCTGACACCTTGTTACATCTGTCTCTCTATTAAACTGTCTCTCATCATGTGTATATCTCATCAGGATTAAATCACTCCAACTGATAAGAGAATTGAGTGCAATACTTGCTATTTTACATCATAGACATTTCATCTCCCTCTATATAGCTTTCACAATTGAATAGTCTCAGAAAAGGTGTTTTACTGTCTGTGATGTCTGACATCTTGAACATTCTCTTTCTTTTATTCAGGTTTCTTCTGTTCTAACTTTGTTGAGTACTATTTTCCAGTAAAGATTACTAAATTTTGAGTAGTTCACTGTGTAATGATAGAGACTCTTTCAGATACTTCTTTCTGAAATTTCAGTTAAGTCTACTTCATCTCTTCTGCAACTATTCTTGAAAGGTTTTAGAAGATCTCTTAGCACATAGATATTCTTTAACAAGTGTTGATAGATTTCTTTGCAGAGAGCTGAGATAAAGATTGTCTGATTCAATCTTTCACTTCAGACTTCTGCATGTCTGAATCTCATAGTGTCTTCAGATACCTGAGGCTGTTATAGCAATCTGACTCAGTTTGATGAAAAGATTTTTACTACTCTTTTTGCCACTGTGATGTATCTCATTGAGAGTTCATCTTCTGCCTTTGACAAATCCCATACTTGTGATATGGTTAATATGGGCTCATTTAAATTCTTTCCTTTAAATAGGTCTTTTCACACCTCAGCATTTCACCTTGGTGAGCTATGATTCTGGCTCAATGCTGAGTGATATCAGAAGTACATGATTTCTATGTTCTTTCAGAAGCTCAGTGATACATCTTGCTTTCTACAAGCTCTGCTTCATCAATTCCAAAAGAATTCAATTGATGAAGAAAAGTTAAGTGTATGAGCTGCTCAGATCTGAGATCATGACCTGGTGATGAACTTCTTCACTCTCACAGTCTGTTCTGTGTGAATTATATCTATCATTATTTGACTTCAGATTGGCTTTTCATCTGATTCCTTATTTATACTACTCTCTAAAGCATGAATTCAGTACATGTTGAGTGTCTTCTGCATTGTCATGATGTCTATAGCAGCTAGTTCACCTTCACTCAGAGAGTATATTAGTTGTTGATTCTCAATTGATTCTTGAGCAGGTTGATCTAGCTCAATATCTCATATATATTTTCATATCATGGTTTGAATAGGCTGTAGATCATCTCTTCAGGCAGGCAAACATTGCAGTGAATATCATAGCTTTGAAGCTAGGCAAGTCTTTGCCACTGCTATTCTTTGTCTGATGAAGAGATGATATTTCTGTCAGTGTTTCATACTTTGTTTAATCTTCAGCTGATACTGAATTCAAATTGAATAGTCTACTGACTCTTTTACATGAATTCTGAGATATTTTATCAGCTTGTCTTTCAATATCTCTATAGTTCTCATTCTTTCTGGTGACTGTGAGTCTCTGACAGCTAATATCTTTGTTTTTTCTTCATTTAACACAGCTGTTGTTGCTTTGCTATACATATTATAGATGTCTTTGATTCTTCTTCATTGAGCCAGATTTTGAAAAAAGATTAAGGTGTTATCTGCAAACATGCTGACTCTGATTTCCTTTCTCATACTGTCTTTTAGTTCTTGAATTGACTGTTTCTCAATCAGCAGCCTTGCTAGGCCTTCAATCATCACATTGAATATAAGACAGAAGAGTGAACAGCTCTGTCACACTTCTCTTTTGAGTTTGATTAACTTGGATTCAAATCAGTTGATCATGACTGTAGATGTTATATCTTGATAGCAGCTCTGTATAACTTTCACTGTTGACTCTGGCACATTGATTTTATGTAGTGTCTTGAAGAGATAGAACTGATCTATTGAATCATATGCCTTCTCTTAATCTAGAAAGGTCATGTACAGAGGTTTTCTCTTCTGCTAAGCTTTATCTACTGCTACCTGAGCTAGCTTCATACTATCAATAATTTGTCTGCTCTTAATAAACTCTGTTTGATGTTTTTCAATAATCATTTTTATTGATTCTGCAAGTCTTTCAGCAATAACTGAGGTTATCAGTTTATATATTGTATTTATAAGTGAAATGAGTCTGTAATTTTTGATTTCAGTTCTATTCTCTTTCTTATACAGTATTTTGATAATCTCTTTATTTCAGTTATTTGACATTACTGTTTCATACTTGTGATATTCAATCAGAACTGTGATAACTGCTGTGAGTGCTTCTTGTAATGTGTAATCTTCATCATTAGTATGATACATAAAGGTCTTGAAGAAATCTCATGAAATTTCAGATGAGCCGGGAGATCATTCTCATAATCAATTTCTGCTCAGTAACTTCACTTCTTCAACTACTACTGAGCTCAACAGACTCTGAAAATCATCTTGTGATAGTCTTCTTAACAGATGTTCTTGACACTTTAGGCTTATTGAGTGTTTTTGAAACAGAGTCTCATAGAAGTTAAATACTATCTTTAGCATTTTATGTGTTTTATGAGTTACTTTTTCTCCTTCTCTTAGGTCATATATTGTGTTTTCACCTATTGATTCTTTTCCCAACTTTCAAAATGCTGGAGATGATTTCATTTTTGAGATGAGTCACTTTGCTTTTGCACTTATTTTCTGATGACTCTTCTTGACCTCTCAGAGTGCATTTAAGCGCCGGTGTGTGATCTGAATCATTCTGGCTATTTTGCATGTGCGAGTCTTAGTCTTGAGCTTTTGAAGTCTTGTTTCCAGCTTTCACTGAATCCTTGTCATACTTGCTGTCTTAGCTTCTTGAAAGCTTCTAGCTTTATTGACTATCAGCTGCAGGCTTTTATTGAATTCTGCTAGTAGTTTTGTCACATCAGTTGTTACAAAGTATTTTCCCTGTCTATTGAAAAGCAGTGTACATGTACTCATTGTATTGCTGATCAGCTGCTTCACTACTGGCTTTAAGCTCTCTTGCATGGATGAGTGCTTTAATAGGTTTATATTCATGCATCAGGCTTCTTCACTCATCTTCACTATTATTTGAGAGCAGTACTGAACCAGCACAGCACTGTGATCAGTTCAATCAGAGATGTGTTTTATCTCCCATCTACTTGACTTTCAGAAAACTCTAGAGATGCACAGAATCCGGTCAATTCTGCTGAATGAGAATCTCTCTGTTGATTCAGTATACATGTATTGTTTCTGGTCTGAATTTGTCATACATCAGCCATTCATCAGAGAGTCACTTTTCATCACACTTTCTAGTGCTCTTTGAACTCTTGAATCTTTCCCTTGAGATGGGTTTCAGTCCTGACTTTTCAATACGCAGTTGAAATCCCTCAAGACCATGTCTACCTGTTCTCACCCTGATTCCAGGTGCCGGGCTACACTTTGCAGGAAGTTCCTTTGAGTAGTCTCTTGATTCAGAGCATAAACCCCCATTAGTTTCACTGTCTTAGTTGATTTCTCAATGTAACATCTAATTCTGATCTGCCTGTTCTTCTTGTCTCTGTGAAAACATGTGACTTTTTCTGCAGGTATTTTTATCAGGTTCAGTATAATTCATGTTACACTCACACTGTTGATAGCTGAGGTATTGATGAACATTGTTACCCTCTGATAGAGCTGTTGCACCGCCTTGGCCTGGCTCTCAATTAAGTGTGTTTCACACAAAAACGCTACATCAACTCTTAGATCTCTTAAGTAGGTTAAAACCCTCTCAAACTTACCTAAGTTCTCTAACCTCTTTATGTTAAGTGAGGCTAGTTTCATTTTTAGCAAGTGTAAGAAGTAGTCTAGTCAATAGATTAGAAGTTATACTCAATGTTTCAATTTCCTCAATTCTCTTTCTTTATAGAATAAGCATAAACTTTTGAAGAAGTGCTAATGTACAGGCCCTATCTCTTCATTAATACTTTTATCTGAAGTTTTCATATAACATTTCTTCCTTGTGCTTTTTTATCTCAAAGAATTTCCCTTCTCTCATTTTGAGTATTATCTGCTTTTCTCTCCTTTATTTACTTTTTTCCTGGTGTTTTCTTTTTAACTGCCTTGTAAGAGGCCTACGCTGAATAGATCGGTATAATATTGATAGGTCTTATATAACAAAGATAAAAACGCTAGAGAAGGAAAGAAAGAGAAAGTGCGAGAATCAGCGATCGAGGTGGATATTTATACACATATGTGGTGGCGTACGCGGTGGAGCTTCGGGGCGGAAGAATATATGCGCGTTCGTAGCAGCCGAGGATCGGTGATCGAGAATGGCCGAGAATCGTAGTGGCGATCAAGAATGGCCGAGGATCGGAGCGTACGTAGAATCTGTGGAGTGTAACGGAATAGTCTATATGATTGATCAGGGTGGCGGCCGAGGATCAGCGATCGAGAATGGCTGAGGGTCGGCAATCAAGAATGGCCGAGGATCGGAGCGTACGTGGAATCTGTGGAGTGTAATGAAATAGTCTATATGATTGATCGGGCGCAGCCCGCCACATGCCTTGCGCTCGCATTGCATCCTACTGACTTATGACCTTTCTCACTGCATAGTATGCAACGCATTCCCTCTTTTTCAATTAGCTGGTCTTGTTTTGATGTTCCAACCTCTAAGGTTTTCGTGCCGAGGTGAACAGGTGTGGTAAACGAGATGATAAATGTGCTGGTTGGGATCTTTGAAGTGACTATTTCTTGAATTTGGTATGCCGGGACTGCCGTATTCTTGGCTTTGAAGAGAGTATTCAATGCCGCCTGTACATCCTGGGCCGAATCCATGGATCCCCTCAGTAGTTGGTAAGTATAGGGTCCAGTTCCGCCTACGTCACCAAACTTGGCTAACGCAACATCAACCTTTTGCTCATTTACTTCAAACTTGATGTCCTTTAGTTTTTGCAGGCCTAAATCTCTTTTACTTTGGCTTTTGTACACAATTACATAGAAGCTTGTGCTGGAGAATGTGATTCACTGAACACCTTTCCCTGATTTTTCTGTCAAAAAACTAAACAGCTGTTTATAGGCTGTTGCGCGCTTTGGGGTTGTCTTGTTCAGAGAGGCCCAGATTGATTTGTCATCTGCAATTAATCTCGCTTTGTCAATCTCTGATAGTCTTGTATTATAGGCAGTCTTGGCAGTGCTTGATGGTGTTTTGAGGTCCTGAATATATGACTTTGCTTTTTTTGAGATCACAGATTCACTAGTCTCTTGGGCCATTTCTACATCTGAGGCTTCATTCTCTAGATCTACTTTACTTTTTTCACCTGGGCCTACTGGATCAGCTAGACTCGCCTTATTCACAAGGGGGGTGGCTTGATCATTTGCATTTTCCTTCAGGGCCACTTGGGTTATTTTAGGAGTTTTTTTGACTTGAGTTGTGAGACTCAGCGAGATCTATGATGTGTGACATGTTGATTAATTCTTGTTGACCTAACTAATAGCTAATATCTGCTTGTACAGGACTACCTCTGCCTCATCGCGGCTGCACTTCTTCACTTCCTTATCCTTCTTAAAGCTATCTAGACAAGGGGTTAATTCTTTTTGAAGATCTCACCAATTCCTTTATTTCAGGACTTACTTCATCCTCTTTTTGAAGTTAGTGTAGGAGTCATGTTTCTATGTTGGTTAGTTAAAAGTAGTGACCGGGATTTAGAGCTGCCACCTTTGCATATCCAACACAAGGAGGTTACGGGGTTCATACTTACAATCTTGTATTGTCTGAGGTGTTATCTGTTTATTTAGTTAGTATTACATTTAATGTATTATACCGTGCTTGAGGACAGTAGCTTACTTCACATTATAAAATTAAAACAGGGAAGTTGGCTTTGATTCAGTTATGCTTGTATTGATACCGCGATTGACTAAGCTAGTTTCAGCAACTCTTACAAGTAAGAATTCGCAGGTAGGATGTCGCGCAGGTACTAGCTCGGAAATTTGTAGACTTTGTGGAATGAGTCTTCTGTTATCAGTAAGAGAGTTAAAATGCCATTGCAGCCTAAAAGCTTAGTCAGCACTTCGGTTTCTTTCTGATATCAGGAATTTCCTAATACCTACCCGACGGTATCTGATCATCTTCGATCCCCTAACTTTCGTTCACTGATTAATGAAAACATCCTTGGCGAATGCTTTCGCAGTAGTTAGTCTTCAGCAAATCCAAGAATTTCACCTCTGACAGCCGAATACTGACGCCCCCGACCATCCCTATTAATCATTACGGCGGTCCTAGAAACCAACAAAATAGAACCACACGTCCTATTCTATTATTCCATGCTAATGTATCCGAGCAAAGGCCTGCTTTGAACACTCTAATTTTTTCACAGTAAAAGTCCTGGTTCCCCCCACAGCCAGTAAAGGCCATGGGGCTTCCCAGGAGGAAAGGTCCGGCCGGACCAGTGCACGCGGTGAGGCGGACCGGCCAGCCAGACCCAAGGTTCAACTACGAGCTTTTTAACTGCAACAACTTTAATATACGCTATTGGAGCTGGAATTACCGCGGCTGCTGGCACCAGACTTGCCCTCCAATTGTTCCTCGTTAAGGGATTTAGATTGTACTCATTCCAATTACAAGACCCGAAAGAGCCCTGTATCAGTATTTATTGTCACTACCTCCCCGTATCGGGATTGGGTAATTTGCGCGCCTGCTGCCTTCCTTGGATGTGGTAGCCGTTTCTCAGGCTCCCTCTCCGGAATCGAACCCTAATTCCCCGTTACCCGTTGCCACCATGGTAGGCCACTATCCTACCATCGAAAGTTGATAGGGCAGAAATTTGAATGAACCATCGCCGGCGCAAGGCCATGCGATTCGATAAGTTATTATGAATCACCAAGGAGCCCCGAAGGGCATTGGTTTTTTATCTAATAAATACACCCCTTCCGAAGTCGAGGTTTTTAGCATGTATTAGCTCTAGAATTACCACGGGTATCCAAGTAGTAAGGTACTATCAAATAAACGATAACTGATTTAATGAGCCATTCGCAGTTTCACCGTATAGATTGCTTATACTTAGACATGCATGGCTTAATCTTTGAGACAAGCATATGACTACTGGCAGAATCAACCAGGTAGCTAACTTTTGAGCCCGGAGGCCGAAGGCACCCCGGGCCTGAACCCCCGGAGGGACAGGAAGTAGCTAAACGGAAGGAGTTCCCGGTTACAGAAACTCACCGGGGACGACCAGGCGGCGCACCGCGTTGGACATCCGGACGGTATTCAATTGCCCCCACTGAGATTTTCAGAGGACGGTCCGCGGCAGGGCCGGGCTCCAACCCGCGAGGGGGAGCCCGTCTGCCGCATCGGTCCCTCCGATGGAGGATCACGGCCCCAGACACGCTGACGAGCAGCGGCTTCCGGAGCCGACGTTCCCCCTGGAAATCTGATTCGAAAACGTTCGCCAGCGGCCAACAATCGACAGACCCCAACCGGAACCGGAGCCCGCGAGGGACTCCGGGATTCCGACACCCGCCGCGAGACCCGCTTCTCCGGAATGGAGGGAAGGACAGGCCGCGGCAGGTGCTCGAGCCCGCCGTGGATTGAAGGGCCCACCGGGTTCTCCGATGATGCCCTTAACCATACGTGGAAGGCTCTATCCGACATGGAACTAAGGGTGTTTGGTGGACGACCGCGGAGGATCGAGAAAACCGGGGGTCGAGGGGTCCGGGAGCTCATAGAGTACAAGCCGCCCAGGTGCCCCTCTCCGCCGCCGTCAATCTCGCCGCGATGCCACCTGTAGAGAAGCGCATGAGCTTCTTGCCTACACATACTCACCGGACGCTTCTCGGGTCGTCTTCTGCCAGACTGGGCTCCTGGTACTGGAAATGACGGTGGGGGGATGGTTTTCTATGGGAAAATAGAAACTGGGCCACCTCAACATAGGAAACGGGCGGGATTTTTCCGTCATTGGGCCTGGAAAAGTGGGACTTGGTCGTTTTGCTCTATTGCCATGGTCACCGGCGTGGGATACATACGGCCCTGTCTATCCGGCTAGGACTGTGGTCCGGCCGGAGCGCGCGAGCGGCAACATCTCCGCAGGGCGTCGGAGATGCACC